TCAGCTGATGGACAATTAGTGGTAGACCACTTTTGGCCATTAAACCTAGCCACTAGGGCTCAGTTGTAAAGTGCTTGCCCCACACACATGAGGACCTGAGTTCAACACCCAGAATCTAAGTGAAAAGGCCAGACATGGTGGAACACACTTGTAACACCAGTGCTGGGGAGTTAGGGACAGGTTAATCTCTAGGGCTCGTTGGTCAGTCAGCCTATCCCAATCAGCAAGCTCAAGGCCAGTGAGAGTCCTTGTTTCAAAAAAAGCAAAGTAGACAGTACCTGAGGAATGACACTCAAGGTTGACCTCTGGCCTCCACAAGAACCCTCTCACATATAAGAACACACACATGCACACACATCTACATCATGCACACACACACACACACACACACACACACACACAGATACACACACAGAATGAAAACCTGGTCAGTGTGTCTCCAGGAGCTACAGAGGTTTACTGATTCTAAGTCCCAGTTTCCCACTGCCCTCATCACCTTGAGCAGTCTATTTATGAGCAGATTCAGGCACTAACATAATTCCTAATCCCCACAGGCATTCTGACTGGTCTGTTTTAGAAGAGTCCACATTCCATTTTCCCCTGAATCTTTTCTTCCTATGGAATTGTCTGTGGGCTATACAAAGCAGCTTGCAGTGAGGCGCCCTGGCCTGTGTCACAGAAGTTGTTGATAGGAAAACCACTGGTGCAGTCTGTTACCACAATCAATAGCAAGGGATAACCACAAATTCTTACTATACCACTGGTAAAGGATGGAGCTCCACCTCTAAAACCACTGAAGAAAAGCATAAGTCACAACAGTGTTTAGGAAGTTCAGAATCATCAGTGACTGGAGTGACTGTGTACTGACTGCATCCATGACTCAATCATGTACTTTTCTAAGTCTCAATGTCATCCGTGAAATACAGATCACAGAACAAGTTGTTCTGTGAGCTACCGAGGATAAAGCATGCAAGATGCTTAAAGTGGCTCCTGGTACATAGTAAGTGTGCAGTATGTGTAACTTATGACATTATGCTGTGTTAACCATTGTGTGAGTGTGTGTATGTGCACACATGCATGTGTATGTGCATCTGTGTGCAGGTGCACTCACCTTTACAAGCATGCACAGAAGCCTTGAAGTGTCTTCTATTGCAGTTCACCTCATTTTTCAAAGATTTATTTATTTATTTTTATTCTATGTGTATGAGTGTTTTGCCACTTGTATGTAAGTGCACCAGTGTGTGCGATGCCCACAGAGGCCAGAAGAGGGCATCAGATCTTTGGGAACTGGAGTTAAGAACAGTTGTTAGCTGCCATGTGGGTGCTGGGAACTGAACCCAGGTCTCTGCAAGAGCAGCCAGTGCTCTTAACCACTGAGCCATCTCCCCAGCCTCCCTTCCACCTCATGAAGAAGGGTCTCTCACTCAACCAGAGTCCTTTGTTTCAGCTAGCCTGGGTGGCCAACAAGACCCCAGAATCTGTCCCTCACCCCAACACTGGAGGTACAAATGCATGCTGCCACATCGGATGTTTTACATGAATGCTAGAGATCTGAACTCAGATCTTCATGCTTGTGCAGCAGATACTTTCCCCACTGGGCCACCTCCCTAGCCCCATGTATTAGTCCACTTTCTGTTGCTGAAACAAGATGCCTGAGATAAACAACTCAAGAGGGCAAGTTTATTTTAGCTCCATTTCAGAGGTCTTGAGAGTCTATGCTCAGCTGGATGAGGCATTCTGATGGCAGGAGACTGTGGCAGAGAAGGTTACTCATTTTATGATGGTAGCCAGGAAGGACAGAGACAGAGACAAAGAGACAGAGACAGAGAGAGATGGAGACAGAGACAGGGAGACAGATAGAGGCAGAGAGACAGAGAGAGACAGAGGCAGAGAGACAGAGAGGCTGGAGATAAGATACTGTTTTCAGGGACATGCGTATCGCCACCTACACCCCATCTCCTACAATTTCCAGAACCACTCCCCAGACTGTTCAGCTATGATTCCATCTGTGGACCAATCCTCTAATGAAATTAGAGACCTCATGACCCAATCACACTGAACACTGATGCATGAGTCTTTGGGACATATGTCAAACCATAACACAACTCAAAACAGACAGCAACATGAGAATGAAGCTTTGGAATATAATCAAGTAAAATTAAGGTCGTTTTCAATCTTAGGAGAGATGTAATGAGCTTGTCTTTCTTCCAAGAATTTCCTTGAGTCTTCTCCTCTGGATCCTTTCCTCGACTCAGTCTGTTCTTTGCCTGATAAGCAGAGAGTCAGATCCAAAGAGATGGTCTACGTATTCCACCGCAGTGATTGTGAAACATAGCTGGCTTGCAGCCTCCTTCCAGTGGTAAGTAGTAAGGAGTTAAATGGACAGTGCTCTCAGCATCATAGGACAATAAAAGGAGCAGGGATAGTAGACATAATAGTGATAGCTCGTCATAGTCAACTGGTGAAACCACAGGCCCAGAAGCCTGGACTCACTTAATACTCTGCCACTCACCAGGTGGGACTCCTTAATTGCCATTCTGATCATCACTGCCTCGCCATAAATGTTATCATTAACGCCCTACTTCAAAAGGGGTGGGCTTCATCCATGTGCCTGACCTGTCAGAAACATTTTTTTTTGGTCTTTTTGAAGCAGGGTCTCCCTGTAGCCCCAGCTGTCCTAGAACTATGTAGACCAGGTTGGCCTTGAACTCACAGGGATCCGCCTGCCTCTGCCTCCCAAGTGCTGGGACATAGGCGTGCGCCACCACACCTGGCTGGAAACATTTTTTTAATTGTGTATATGTGTACATAAATATATGAGGGGTATATTTGTATACACATATATGTGTATACATGTGCCTCTGTACATGTATGCACTTGCACAAGTGTGCGCATGCATATGTGTGTAGAGGCCAGAAGTTAATGTAAGGTATCTTCCTCAATTGCTTCACCGTTTTTTTGACAGGGTCTCACTATGTAACCCTGGTTGGCCTAGAATTTGCTATGTAGACCAGGTTGGCCACCTGCCTCTGCCTCTTCCTGAGTGCTGAGATTATAGGCAAGAACTACTATACCAGGCCCATCTTTGCTTTTTAATTAGTGTGTGTGTATGTATGTATGTATGTATGTATGTATGTTAGCACATGTGTGTATGTGCATGTGTGCATGGGCACAACTCATGTGGAGCTGGTTCTCTCCTTCCACCTTTACCTACGTTCTGGGAATTAGTCAGGTTGTGAGGCTTATATGGCAAGTACTTTTTTCCACTAAGTCATCTCTCTAGCCCAGAAACACTTGATAAGTGGCAGCTATTACGATTTACGAATATAAATGTATAGTTCATATATATGTATGTATGCACATGAAGCTCACACAGGCCTTTCCCACTCTGCAGGAACCTCTCTGAAGCAAGACTGGCTCTAATTCTCTGCCTCCTCTGCTTTGCGCAATCCCACACTGCCCCTCAACTCCCTGCCATTGTTTTTGCAGACAGGGAAGAGGACACACATGCATAATTTCATGCTGTGTTGTGAGACATTCTGAATATTGTTTGTCATTTATAAGAACTGACAGAGCCATTAACTGCCCTAGAGATTGGTTAATTGCCTAGTTAATAAACACCCACAATGATTATCAAACACTCACAATGAGTTGAGTCAAGTTATGCTGGAGAAAAGGAGACAAAATACTGACAAGCTTCTCTGTGGGTCTGAATGAGCCACAAAGCAGGGGACAGCAAACTGTGGTCCTCGGTGAGGGAAGAGGGGAGATAGGAGGGGTCTGTGGTCAGATTTGCCACATTGGAGACAGCCAAGTATTTCAAAACACCTGGTTGGAAAGCTGGTTCACTGATTATTACCTGAGTGATTTCAAGCAAAAGCCTCATTTATTCATTTGTCAGGTGGGACGCTAAATCAATATGCTTAAAACTCACTTCCTTTTTTCTCCCACCAGTATCAGGGCAGAACGAAGGCAGTCCTCACAAGGAGTACCTGTTTGCTAGCTCTTTGCCCTTCTAAGTAGATGGCAACAGCAGGCAATATCTGAGAAGCAGAATACTCAGTCTCCTACTTTTTGTTTTATCTACTTATTCTGTCTCTGCTCTACTGACGTGTTAGCTGTGTATCACTGTAACAAAACACCTTAGATAAATAGCATATGTGTGCACGTGCATGTGTGTGCTACCAGGGCCTTGTGTAGCTAGATGAGCACTCTAGCACTGAGCTATCTCTATTTTTATTTTGAGATGAGGTCTTTCTAAGTTTCCCAGACTGGCCTTGAACTCATTATGTAACCCAGGCAGGCCTTAAACATGCAGTCCTCCTGTCTCAGGCTCCCATTCCCTGGGAGCACAGGTACGTGCCATCATGCCCTGCATAAATCAACTATTAAGGAAAAAAGCTTGTTTGAGGCCATAGTTTCTGAGGTTTCAGTTCATGGTTATAGCTGGCTCTGCTGTTTGGGGCCTGTGGGGAGACAGAACATAGATGATACATGTGAGGTCATACATGGTGGAGTAATGGGTAGATTAATGTGGAGCATGGTATGTGGGAAGCAGAGAGGAAGCACCCAGGTCCTAAATCCCCTTCCAAGGCATGCTCCCAATGCCTAACTTCCTCCTACTAAGCTCGACTTCCTAAAGGTTCTAGCATCTCCTGCCAATGGTTGAAGACCATCTTTGTGTGTGTGCGTGTGTGTGTGTGTGTGTGTGTGTGTGTGCTGGGAACTGGACCTTCCACATGCAAGCCAAGCAATCTACCAATGAGCTATATTCCCTGCCCAAAGGACGATCTTTCAATACATGGGTTTTCCAAGGACATTCCAGATCTGAACTACAGTACCTAGTCTCTTTTGCACACTAAATAAATCTGTTCTTGGGTCTACCTATGCACAGCTCCTGATGACCAGGGAAGGATCTGAACCACGGAGTTGAAGACCCAGGCTGGGCTCCAGTGTCACTGCCTTCTCCCTTTGGCTCAGGGCCATGTTTGTTTCCACAGGGGCTTTCCGAGGTGTGTGCAAGAAAATCGATCACTTTCCAGAAGATGCAGACTACGAACAGGACACAGCTGAGTATCTCCTGCGTAAGTTCCCTACCCTCCCTGTTTCCCTGAAGGGAAAGGAAGGGTGCCCTGCCATCACCTACTTACCTCTGAGTTTGAGGTTCCTCATTATCTACCTCAAAGTGCAAAGGAGCATCAGGTGCCACTAGACAGACATTCTCATGGCTCTGATATCTAGTCTCTTTCATTTTGATGAGCTAGAAATAGAAAAAAAAAAAGTAGGTGAATCAGAATTAAAAGGTTCTTTTTAGTCTCCTTAGAAGAAAAATCTAAGAGATTTTCTTCAACTCAATACCTTCCCTGGTGGGAAGGTTTTCACCTTCCCTGGTAGGTTGATATGAGGTGCTAACGGGCAAAGCACTAATGGTGAGGTGCTAATGGGTGAGGTGTTAACGGGTGAGGTCCCAGGGGTAAGGCCTGGGATGATAAATACAAATCAAAGTTCACCTCTTTTTTGACTTCCCAGCAATTCCAACTCTTCTGGGGCAGGGCCAGTGTCTTTGTAGAAATGTTCCAAGGTCGGTAACCTGGATGTGGCATGGATTTCACAAGCATAGCTGGTGAGAGCAGTGTAGTGCAGTTGATCTGATAGATCCAACCTGTGACCCTATTCGACTCCCTCCTAGCTGCACTGGCCCTGGGGCAAGTTGTTTTACCTCAATTTTTTTTGTCCATCCTGAAATGAAAATTATAATGTCATCGGTCATAAAGGTTAAACAAGACAGTGCATATCACTTAGCCTTGGACCCAACAGGTAAACATGAGCTGGTGTGTGTCAACTCTTACCACTTACATGGGATTAGAAAGAGCAGAGTGAGCTTTAGACACTCACCTTATACTGGTCCAGGCACTTTGAAGCCTGGTTTGGGATTTCAGTGCCATTTCATTAGAAATGTGTGTCAAGTTCAAGTAGAAGGAAAATTTCAAGGTTTCAGCTAATTTGCTATTTGGGAGCTTTCAATTTAAGGTGCTGTGGAAATTTTTAAAACTGAAATTATAAGTTAAAGCTCCAAGAAATTGTCCTAGTACTCAGGTATTGTTTTTAACTCAAAGATCAAGTGTCTTGGGGTCAGAGTACAGCTCAGTGGGCAAAATATGTGTGTTTAGCATTTGGAGTGAATTCCCAGGGAGAAGGCGGGGCAGGGGGGAGGGGTAGGAAGAAGGGAGGGAGCAAAGAATTAAAGAAAGAGGGTGAAAGAGGTAAAAGAGGGAGGGAGGGAGAGAAGAGAGAAAAAAGATGAAGGAAGGAAGGAAGGAAGGAAGGAAGGAAGGAAGGAAGGAAGGAAGGAAGGAAGGAAGGAAGGAAGGAAGGGTGGAAATCTAAAGCTTAGCGATAACAGATAAGCTGGACTCCCTCAAAAGAGAACGGCTTTTAAGTCATTACTAGTAAGATTTTCCCAGACTGTTTATAGTTAAGAAACATTTTGATACCAGCCCTGTTGGACTAAACGGAACTGTGACTTTCATTCCACAACTCACGAAACCCATTTCTTTGGAGAACTTGATTGCTTTCCTGACCATTTTTCCCCTTCCTCTGGGTGAGCTCTTCTGCTCCTTCACTTCCATTCACCTATCCCACAGCCCACAAAGCCTCACTGATAGCCACAAAATCAAGTGAAGTTTAAGCAAGGGCCTTAATAAGCACATGGGTTTCTTGCAGGGAATTTTTAAATGCCTGACTGTCTTAGTCTCTACCCTGTTGCTGTGATAAAAAAAAAAAATCCTGATTCAAAAGCAACTTAAGGAAAGAAGGGTTTATTTTAGCTCACAGTTCAGGGTACAGTTTATCATGGTGGGAAAGTCAAGGCAGCTGGAACTTAAAATAGCTGGTCGCATCACATCTTCAATCCGGAGGCAGAGAGGGATAAATGCTGCTGCTCAGTTCCCTTTCTATACAGTCCAGGATCCCAGCCAAGGAATGGTGCCACCCACCATGGGCAGGCTTTCCCACCTCAACTAACACACTTCAGACACTCTCCCACAGGTACATCATCTAGAGGCTGATCTCCCAGGTGATTCTAGAGTCTGTCAGGCTGACAACACTAATAGCCACACTGACCCAGCCACTAAAGGTCAAAGTCTTGTTTCCACAGGTATCTTCTCCCCAGTCCACAAGTTTATGCTGCCCTGGAACTGGGATTCTACTTACGATTTTTCTGCTCTTTACTATTTCATGTACACTTTGGGGTAGGCTGCTTCTTAAACCCTTGTGTTGTAGTCCACCATCTGTTGCTATACTAGAGTATCTGAGCTTGCGTAATTAATAAAGAATAGAAGTTTCTTTGGTTCACAGTTCCAGAGTCTGGGAAGCCCATGAGCCTGGTGCTATCCACTCAGCAAATGGCAAGGGCTTTCTTGCCGCATTATAACATGGTAGAGAGCATCACATGAAGAGACAAAGCAAGTTTGCCAGCTCCAGTCTCCCTCCCTCTTCTTGTAAACCACCAATGGCTACATTGAGCCCCAACCTTCTGACTTTATCTAACTCCAGTTGCCTCTCAAATACCATGAATAGATTGGGGGATTAAGTTTATAACATATGAACTTTGGGGGAAGACAATCAACACATTGCATCATAACTGACAGATGAAGTAGCCAATGGATAAATTGGGTTGACCAGGTCACAGATAAAACTCCAGCAGAATAGTTTATTAGCAAAGGAACACATGGGACAGATTCCCTTCCAGGTAGGGAAAATGTCTGCCCCTGGGTCGTGAGCTGGGGTCTTTTATTGGGGGGTGGGGGGATTCGGGGGAGGATGCAGAAGGCAGGAAGGAAGATACATTTTTTAAAATTTAGGCAGGGGGAAGCCGGAGAGTGGGACTGTTAAAACCTGCCCCCTTTAGAGATCAAAGGGGAAGCCTGCTGTGTTGGCCAAACAGTGGAGAAAAGTCTGCTTTTGACTTCAAAGACCAAGGTGGTTTTCTCAGGGGCTTGCAGAACCCTGAGGAGGCCCTCTTGGTGAGGGGTGTGGCTGCTGTGTATCTGAACCCTAACAGTAACAGGCTAATTAATAAACCCTAGGTTCTATTACTAAAGATGTCCCATGACATAGCGTCAGAGACAGCAAAGTCCCACTGGTGCCGATGATGAAATGACCCTGGATTGAGAATACCTCCGAACTCTTGAGACCCTAACTCAGCTCCTGGGAGCCTGGGAAGCAGACAAGAACAGTAAGATGGCCATCGCCAGAGTTTATAGACTCTACTCACATCTTGTCTGTAGTCGGTATACTGTACAACTTTGGAAACAGCCACACCAATAGGGGAAAACAGCCCCACTTTAGACCAGAGCAGAAAAAAACAAGTTTATTTCCTTATTCTGCAGGCCTGAAGGAAACAGAACAATTGCCTGCATGAGATGATGGGCTACACAGCAAGTGCCAGGGATCTTTACTTAGGAGTGGTCCTCATTCATTCAGTTAGGTTGAGCCACTATCTCACCATCTCCCGGTCACACAAGCCCCACCGTGCAAATGAGGACAGCCCTGATTGGTCAGTCTTCAGTCCTGGGTAGGTTTACAGAGCAGCAGTCATTAGGCCAGAGAAAAGGAACATCCATTTTCTGTTTTAGGGATGTTTTCTGGACCAGGCTTGCACTGAGAATCTCTTCCCCTTTCTGGTCTCAGTTATAAGCTTCCTTCCACACACACCACTTATTCTCATGTTTTAAACATACCTTTTGTGTATGTATGTATGTGGTGCTATAAATTGAATCCAGGGTCCTGCACATAGTGGGCAAGTTCTATACCACTGAGTTGTCTCCAGGATTTAGCTCCCACCCCCACCCAGGCTGGCCTTGAACCTACCTTGTAGGCAAGTCAGGCCTTAAACTTGTATTCCTCCTGCCTCAGCCTCCTAAGCAGTTGGGATAACAGTCCCATGCCACCAGGCCCAGACAAATACACACTTTTATAATCAGCCTTATTGCTTCCAATGTTGGGAGCATGTCCTTGGGGTACATTTCAAAGGTTAATCATTTTTTTAATTAAAACAAAAGATTCTTTTAATCAAATAAACTCATTACATTGAATATTCAAGCAAATCCTGCCAATTCACAATGCAAATGGTCTCTTAAAGGTTAGTTCACAGTCTGGCAAGATGCCTCAGCAGCTAGAGGCAGTTGCTTCTAAGTCTAACAACCTGAATTTGATCCCCAGAACCCACATGATGGAAGGAGAAAGCCAACTTCTGCAGATTATCCTCTGACCTACACACATGTGCATGCACACATACACACACATACAAGTGAAAAATAAATAGCTAGATACAAAGACTAGTTCACAAGTTCCAAATGGGTACTTGAAGCCTTTATAGAAAGCAAACCAACTCCTAATATTTGTGGGGTCGGGACCAAGAGTTCAATTGAAAACTCACAGGTTACTCCCAAGGCTAGACCCATTTAGCTGCATCCCACACATCAGACCCCAGAGCCCACTCTCCTGGGATTACACTCTACCTGGGGGCTAAAGGAACCATAAGGATCAACTCTGCCTTCTGCAAGAGTTGAGGTAAAGGGACACTCCCCTCCCCCACCTTCTGAAGTTTTGCTACAAATAGAGACACTCAACAGGAGAAAGGCTTCTAAATGTATGACCATGCAAAGAGAAGTATGGGAGTCATAGAACGCTGGAAAAGTCACTGGAGCAGGAGTACTAGTCTTAACACAGCTTAGAAAGCTATATACTCTTTTATTTCTCAGGGGAAGGAGAGAATGGGAAATGGTAGAGGCTGTCTGGAAACCCAATGGGTCTATTACACATGCGATGCCCCAGAACACACAATGGGTTGTGAATGGTTCTTCGTGACACCAGAGGAGAGGCAAGTATGGGTGATATCTGTCTGTCCAAGCGTGTCGGCAGACTTTACTCTTTCTTCCTGTGAAATGAGTTTAGTTAATAGAAACTCAGGAAGGGATCAGAGGTAATTGGTTCTTCTTTGGTGGGTTCAGACTTCAGGCAGATAAAGGAATTTCACAGAAAGCCTCTCCTTGCACTTGAGTGGGACAAGTGTGAAGCTAGGGGGTAGGGAGTGACACAAGGTCCGAAGAACCTGGATCCTGAGTCTGCTTTTTAAAAGCTTTTTCATTTACTTTAGATCAAATTACTCAGCATGCCAAAAAACAAAAGCAAAACAAACAAACAAAAAAAAAAAACACCTCACTATATTTTTCAGGTTATTATTCTCTGAGCCCCAACACAATCCAGGACAGTAGCAAAGACTCCAGGGCAGGCCACCACTCAGAGGGTCTGATCTATCACGTCCTTCCAGGGCCCAAGATTCCCAACCTCACATCTGGCTTCTTTCATCCAATTTTCTAGGCAGTTTGAAACTCTTCCTGAAATGTCACACCATGACAGCAAAGGGATGGCAAGGATGTCATTATCCACGTCCCTGCAATGACCAGACTCCCCCCTCCAACCGGGTTGACATCTTGAAACAAATGCAAAACCATTCATTTCTCCTGCATTAGGAGAACCCCACTCCTCTGTTCCCTGACCTCAGCCACCAAATTTCAGGAAAACCAAAAACGTATCCATGCAAACAACCAACAAAACTTAGTCACAGCATCTTAGAAAGAGCTTTGCCTTTGAGGTCTGAGTCGTAAATGGAAGCAGGTGGCACTAAGTTATGGGGCTATGAAATTTGAAGCCTGTACTAGTAAGGAATGTGAACTTGACTTTAAACCTCTCTCACAACCCAAATGAACTATACCCTTGGCTGTCCCAGTCCCCATCCTGCTCCTCTGGCTGGTGGAACCCTGTGTCAGTAAGGTGCAGCCATTCCCCTCCATGCTCAGAGAAACCATGGTGGCTCCTGAATCTTCCTTTCACCACCCATAGTGGATCCATCAGCAATCCCTTCCACAGAGAAAATAATCCCTGAACCCAACTACTTACCTGGTGTGGTCTACTGCGCTAGTCCAAGTTGTGCCAACTCCCACCTGGGTCCCTGCAGTCTTGTCAATCACTCAGTGGAAGGGCCCTATCCCTGCTCAGCATGCTGCTGTCACCATTCTGAAATCTTTAATAATTTTGAAACAAGACACCTTGCATTTTTATTTTGCACATGATCCTGCAAATTATGTAGCTGGTCCTGCCTTGATCTCTGCTAGAGCATAGGCCACATGAGGACAGGGGCTCTGGCTTTTTGTATACTGATGAGTATAGAATGCATCCATGTTATCTCCAGAGGCCTAATCATACTGTAGCTGGAATAACAGGGCTTGTTCTGCCTGTCACAGTTAAGGTCAATGAGCAGAGAAAGGAGCTGAGTGTCTATGAGCTTCATTCAGAGAGTCGGCCATCTGAGAAGGCAGCAAGACGACACTATAAACGCCCACCTTCATGTCTCATCTCAGTCAACCGTGATAAGAGAATGAGACAAAGTCAGTCCATCGCGAGCACTCCAGCTTGTCCCTCTTGGTCAAGTGGTCCCACATTCCTAGGATGTCTGTTCATTCCTCATTATCATCTTCTGGACATCTGGACCCAGGCACTTCCCAGTCAGCTTGTGGCACTGCTCCAGGAGCCACCTAGGCTGGGGAGTTAGGATGAACAATTCATTAATAATATATAGTTGGAGATTAACTCAGAGCAAAACAACCATTAGTGGGTGTAACACAGAGTGTCCTATCCTACCCTCCCATCCCCCATCAATGCCAGAAAATGTAGCCATCTTAATTTGCCAGCCCTGCTGTGGTTTCAAAGCAATGCATATTCTGTAGAGCTACATTTCACATCTTGCAGCTGGGTCTCTTCTTAAGTTAGCAGTATGTGAAATGATTCTCTCCAGATGCTGGGCGGCAGCAGCCATGGCTCCCACCCAGTCAGCCTCTCAGTGGATGCCCAACATTCTGTGTGTACTGTGCTGTGACATTCAGTGGGTCAGGTGCATTAAATGCTTGCCCCATCTACAGTATTTTTAACTTACTAAACTTCATCATCTATAAGCCCATTGTAAGTTGGGGGTCATGTTTGCCCTTACCAAGACTGGGTCAATACTGGACCACCACCTTAGGACCTCTCATGATCTAGGAAACCACCAAGCTCACATCAGGGCATCTAGCACTCTCCAACTTCTTAGCTGGGCCAGAGCTCCTTTGCAAGGACAGTGTTGCGCCTTTGTGGTTGTAAAACAGTTTTTGCTATTCCCTCACCCCCACCCCTAGCACCTGGCAGGGTGCCTGGCATCTAGTAGGTACTTCATAAATATTTGCTGAGTGAATACATAAATTCACTTATTCATTCTGTGACTAAATGGGTTTTGAATGGGGTATTGCCAGGCCCTTTACTATGCAAATACAGGTGTTTAAGATTCTGCATTTTGATGAGCTGCAAATGGTCTGATCAAAGTCCCTGTATTCAAGACTGGCTATATAATTTGCAGGTCCCAATGTAAACTAAAGGTGCTGAGATTCTGGCTCAAAATCAGGGTCAAAAAGAGCTTTCTTTTTTCTGTAATCAATCTCAATCCCCCCCCCCTCATGCCCACCCCATCTCATTAGTTGGGTTCTGGTGGTTGTTTGTTGCTGGTTGTTTGTTTGTTTTTTTCCTTATTGTTTAAAGTTGCCCTCCCTTGGGGACAGGGACACTATCAAAGTAAGTTCAAACCCACACAAGGACCTGGGGCTTACACCTAAGCCTGATTCTCCCTGTGTTCGTGCTTAGGCCCCCATTAAGGATGAAGGGTGACCATGGCTACTAGGTTGAAGTCAAGGAGGACTGAGAACCCGCCCCAAAGAGTGAGGGAAGTGGGGAGTCAAAGTGGTAGATGGCCAATAGTGGAGTCCAGGGGAACTCTAGGCTCTAAGCCCCCAGTGTATGCCCTATTGTGCCCCCAGGCTTCACTTACAATGGACATTTCCCGTAAAACTGTTGACTTTCAAGATGGTATCTGCAATGAGCCCAAGCACTGGGCCCTTGGAACACAGGCCCTGAGTGGGCAGCACTGGTCTCACGTCTGTATCGAACGTGGACCTGTTCTCCACTTGTTCTGGACCGCGGACCTCGCAGTACAAGCACAGTGGGTGAGCCCCAGGGCTGGCAGGGACACAAACAGAAAACCTCTCTCCTTCTCTCCACAGGGGCTGTGAGGGCCTCCAGCGTCTTCCCCATCCTCAGCGTCACGCTGCTGTTTTTCGGGGGGCTCTGTGTGGCAGCCAGTGAGTTCCACCGCAGCCGGCACAATGTCATTCTCAGCGCAGGCATCTTTTTCGTCTCTGCTGGTGAGTTTCTTGCCCTGACCTTGAGATCTTCACAGATATCAAACCAAAGCCAGGACCACACAGCCAACATAAGACTCTTCAGTGTGTGATCTGGGGAAAGAGCAGGGGAGACTGTTCAACTTGTGCTACAGCCAAGAATCCCATTAGATCGGAAGAGACGAAACTCCAGTCAAGGCTGGCACAAAGGAAAGATGTGGAGGGGACAGGATGGCACGGTCAGCTGGAAGAAAGGGACAAAGAGACAAATTAACAAAGGCAGCAAGCATGGTGGTGCGTGCCTGTAATACCAGTACTTGGGAAGCTGATGTAGAGGTTCATAATTTCCAGCCAGCCTGGGCTGTGTCTTTGTGGCACCCTGGAAAAATAAGAGTGTGAAGGAGGAGGAAGAGAGACGGGAAGAGAGACAGGAAATGGAAGGAAAAGAGGAGAGAAAGGGAGGGGGAGGGGGAGGGGAGAGAAGAGCTATGTATGTACTTGTGCTCACGTGGAATGTGGTCATGTGGCAGGTGAAGATGAGACAGGGATTCTTGATGTATCTAAAACATCTCCACCTTCCTGTTCCCATGGGTGTGATCATATGCCATCCCTGCTCCTTTGAAACACGAGCTTGCCAGTCAACTACCGTTCACACCCTTTCAAGCATTCAAATTCTCATCTCCTCCAAAGCATCTCTAGAAAGAGGCTGAGGCAGCAGCCCTAGACACCCTCAGGGAAGACCTCCTCATCCACAGCAGCTCTGAGCAGGAGGCACAGGGTAACGAGGGGACAAGAGATGTCTTCAGGAAAGTGTTCTATTTCCCTACCCCCCCCACTTCCTCTTCTCTCCTCTCCTTCCTCTGTCTCCACCCTTCCTTTCATGTCTTTACCATCTCTCCCTATCCCTCTCTGCTCCAGACAGGTCAATGCCATCTGGATGAAGGGCTTCGGAAAGACAAAGAACAAGTCAAGTCAGGTGCATTTGTTACTTTTCTCGTTGCTGTGACGAAATGCCTGACAAAAGGAAGGAAAAATTCATTTGGGTTCACAGTTTAAGAAGGAATGCAGTCTCTGCTGATAGAAAAGTCATGCCAAGCAAGAACCTGAGGCAGCTGGTCACAATGTGAGGAAGCAGAGAGAGTTGAATGCTGGTGCCCGGCTCACTTCCTCCTTTTATTTAATCTAGGACCCCAACCCATTGGGTGGTGCCATACACATTTAGGGTGGGTCCTTCCACCTGAATTAACACAGTGTACCCTTCACAGACATGCTCAGATACTAGAGACTGTCAAGAACAATCAGTCATAGCAGGGATGGGGAAGATGGCTTTGGTGATGACCTTCAAACACTGCATACTACAGTGGTCCTCTTATTCATAGAGGATACATTCCAAGGACCTTATCGGATGTCTGAAACCGAAGATAACACCAACCCACTACACTTTCCTTATAACCGTATACCTATATGACATGTACCTATATATAACTATATACCTATATGATAAAGTATAATTTATAAATTAGGCACAGTAAGAACCTAATAAAATAGACCCATAATATATTGTAATAAGATCATTTAAAGTGCAATTATTTTGACTTTCTGGGATTTTCTTTGTAATATTTGCAGACCATAGTTGACTAATTAAGTGACCGTGGAATGTGAAGCCATCTTCACATGGGCACAGCAATGGAAGGATGCTTACTGTGGCAGGACCAGTGCAGAAGAGTAGAAAGTGATTTGATTTTTCAGTCACCAACCTCCTCCTGTAACTTGGTTTCCTCACCCCCAACATGGCAAACGTCAATGGTCCAAGTTTCACAGAGCTCTCAGAAGGAGACTGGGTGTACAAGGCACAATGTACTTTCTACTGTTGGCAAAGCAGCAAAAAAGATGTTGTGAAGTGTGGAGCAGGGTTCCTTCCCACTGTTTCCCCTTCTGTGGAATGAGAAAGTGACATAGCATCCTTGCTCTGACCCTCTGAGAACCTGCTGAAGGCACAGACCAGGGAGAAAGTTGTGACCTTGCCCTAGGGAGACATGGTTAGCTGAAAGTGACTATGGCCTCTGACCATACTCTGTGGTGACAGATGTTAGCAACTGGCAAACCCAGAGACTTGCAGCTTTTGAGGACCATTTCTCCCACTGGTAGCTCTGGCCTGGCTCTGACTGACCAACCAGGAGGATCTATCTGTGCCAGTGCTGTGCTGATGTGACAGTTTCCAAAGAATGAGATATGATCATTATTTTGTCCCTCCAGGGGATTGTTAGAGAAGAATGTCACCAGCTACTTTCTTTGCACAGGTGTATTGTGAGGGATAGAAGGCAGATTAGATTTGGGGACTGCATGATTCCTGAGAGGATGCTCAGGGTCTAATCCTAGACCCCGCCACTAATCTCCCCCAAGAGCCCCAAGAGACTCAGTTTTTCTACCTAGGAAATGACAGCATTTGAAGGTCCCATACTCTCTAAAGTTCTTTATTGTGACTAAAGTTTATGGTTTCAGGATAACCTTTCACTGAGTCCTGGACATTATGCACAACGTTCAAATGAAGGAGCTCTGCAGCCAGGGTGCCGTGTGCAAATCCTCCCTCTTCTACATCCTTATTGTATTACCCTGGGCAAGTTACTAAACCTCTGCTGTGCCTCAGTTTCCCCATCTAAAAAATTGGGGTAATAATGACCCTGCTTCTTGAGGTTGTTAAGAGGATTAAATTAGTTGCCTATATGTAACTGAGCCTGGTTAGCTTCTAGTCAGTGTGTGCTCAGTACACAGTAGCTGTTATGTGCATTGTGTATTTAATGCTGGCATCAACTTGTTTCATTCAGTCAATCAACAAATATACCCTGTGCTCCTGCTTTGGGTCAAGCTCCAGACTAGAAGCTGGGGTACTTGCACATTATCATGAACAGCACAGAGGAGCACCACATAGTAATGGTTGAATGAAGAGCCCTTTATTAGTAGCCAGTGGTCGGAGAGGAGGCTAATGGTCAAAAGTACTCTCGACCCCAAGGAGAAGTAGGGCAAGATTTATAAAGCTTAAAACCATAATTACATTATGCCAGAGGCAAACCCAATAACCATAGTTACATTGGATCACCATAGTTGTACCAGACCAGGGGCAGGTCAGTTAACAAAGAGGTTTTCAGTTAGCAGAAAGTTTCAGTCAGACTGGGTGGGAGGATATGCTAACTGGACGTGCTACCTGGCACTTGTAAGTTTCCGAGGATTGTAGAAACCATGTACTCCTTGCCTGCATGAGACGTTCTGCCTGGTTAGCTGCAGTGGGAATGGTTGGGCAAAAAACACAGGGTAAGGCAAAAGTCAGAACAAATTGTAATTAGCTTCGCCATTTCACTAGTGATGAGCAAGAAGAGCCTCATCTTTGCTCACAGGGGACTTACAGTTTGATGGGTAGGGCAGAGCAACTGCCTACCCATTCTGATCCTCATTATTGAAATCTCAGCCCACCAAGGTTAAGAGTTTCAACTTTGACCATTTCCTAGCAATGCTGACATGGAGACTTGCTAATCTGTGTTCAGTTTTCCCTTCTATAAAAGGGAACCATTTATTTCAAAGCAGGTTTTTGCAATGATTCGTTGAGCTGTTGCACATAATGACTGCATAGATGGGGTGTGTACCCTTGCCTGGTACCCATAAAGTACAAAATAAATTCATAAAATTGTAAAAGACTGTCCAGTGTCTGGCACATAGTAAGTGTCCTGTGAATGATTGATTGCTCACTTGGCTTCTTGGCTCTTTTTAACCTAGTTTGATATCCTAACCCCTCTTTGACGTTTCCTTCCCTCCTCCACAGCAAGACCTTTAGGGGGGGACTTTTTAAACTTTGTCACCCAAATTTTTCTGCTAGCAGAGGAAAGAGAAAGAGATAGAGACCATGGCCTTGGGGAATCAGAGGGCATCACTAGAAACATCGGTGAGCTGAAACGTCTTTGAAGTCAGCCTCCCATTTAACTGAAAAATTCATGTGAATTCTGCTTTCTCCTCCTTATTATATCCATGTTCATTTTAATATAAAAGAATATGTCTCCTTACTAACCTTCCAGGCAAATTGGCACTCCGGGAAGAGAAGCTGTTTTTCATCCTAGGGGTCCCTGCAGCCTGACAGAGCCAGATTTATCATTTCCCATGCTAGGAAGTAGCTCAGTGATCAGAGCTTGCTGCTACCTGAGTTGTCTGTGCCAGGAAATGCCAGGAGAGAACACAGGGCAAAGACAGGCCTTGGCCCTCTCCTGCTAGGGGCAAGCCCTAAATAGAGTATGACCAGAAGCATGTGCAAAATATCAGTACCTTAAAGCACGTACACCAGCTGACTGGAACTGTGGCACTGAAACAGGCACTCTGACCCTGCTAGGCACAGCTTTTTCCCCACTTTTTTATTTTTTTGTTTTTTTGGTTTTTTTTGAGACAGGGTCTCCCTGTAGCCCCACCTGTCCTGGAACTCACTATGTAGACCAGGCTGGCCTTGAACTCACAAAGATCCTCCTGCCTCTGCCTCCCAAGTGCTTTTTTCCTACTTTTAAAAAAAGATTTATTTTATTTTTATGTGCAGCTATGGGGTGAGGAGTGCCTGTGAAAGTCAGAAGAGGGGGATGGATCTCCTGGAGATGGAGTTATAGCTGGTTGTGAGGCATCTGATACGGGTGCTAGGAACTGAACTCGAGTCCTCTGAAAGACCAGCAAGTGCTGCTAATCCTGAGCCATGGCTCCAGCTTTAAGACAATCCTTTAGTTGTATGGCTTTGGGAAGATCTTGGGGATACCCTGGAACTTCAGAACAGTCAAGGAATAGTAAGGGGACTCAGGAGGGAGGCCCCTGAAGAGGTGACTTACCAACTGGTGTTGCCGTCTGTGATGGACAGACTCCATTTATCACCACATACAGGTAGTGCGAATTTAGAGGCAAGAAGATGCTGGCTGGTGTATCTGCCCCCTCAGTCGTTGTTGGCATCAAGCCCTGAGTCCCTGAAGTAAAGGAACAAAAAGAGACATTTCCCCTTTGGAGCAATAACATGAGTCAGGCAGGTAGAAATGAGCAGGGTCCCCAGAGCCCACTGCTCCTTCTCACCATCGCCTAGGGAAGCAATTCCTCTCTGATGGGCTGAGCAGCTATTCCCAATGCTAGCCTGTTGGCCTTGGGGAGAGTAAGTATATTAAATAAGCCAGGTTTCTCTGGAGAAATATAACCAAGAAAGGGAAGGAAAAAGAAAAAAGCTAAAAGTGGGCTTATTGGGTTAGCTTATGCAATAGAATGACAGGTAGTCTAACCATGACTGTCTGCATGCTGGGGAGGCAGAAAACCCCTTAGTTGTTCAATCCAGGAAGATGGAAGCCTCAACAGTGCCAATCAGTGCTGAAGGTCCAGAATCTCCCTAGAGAGCCTAGTGTTGAGCACATGTTAAACGGCTGAAAAAGCTGCAGTCTGCTATCCAGGGGCCATGGCACCAGTAATTGATGCCTCACTCAGATAGAATGAAGTTTGCACGTGTGCTCTGGCTTCCTCTTCCAACTTTTTTTCCATCCAGGAACTCAGCCCCCAGTTTAAGAGATGGCACCGCTCAAATTCAGAGAGATCATTCTCTCTGAGGGCCTGACCCACCCATGTCAACCTTCTCCGAAAACACCCTCACAGCCTACTGGAGTCCTTCACTAGTCCTGGGCATTGGTTTTTGTTTGTTTGTTTGTTTCACATTGGGGTTCAACCTAAAGCTTCACGTGTACTCAGCAAGTTCCACCCTTTTTTCTCTTTTGAGACAGGAGCTCACTATGAAGTCCTGGTTGCCTGGATCTCACTATGTAGACCAGACTGGCCTCATACTCACAGAGATCTGCCTACCTTTCCCTCCTGAATGCTGGGATTAAAGGCATGCAGTACCATGCCCAGCTTCTAGACATTTCTTAATCTAGTCAAGGTGAAAATAAAGACTAACCTCAGATTGAGTCCTCAGGGATAACAGGCTTGTATTTGCAAAGTCCTGTTGCTCCAACAAGAGTGAACCTAAGCATGTCTTATTCCATGCAGATAAAAAAGCTTGGGGAGGGTGGCTCCATGGTACAGCACTTGCCTAGCATGTACAGAGCCCAAGATTCCATGCCCAGCACATACATACCCCCAAAAGACTTAAGCTACAGTTCTTCCCCGATGTGCTCACTCATCCCCACATTGCAGCTCCAAACCCATGAGTCCACTGTTGGACTTCACTGGTCTACATCAGCATTTCCAACTCTGTATATCCAAAGTTTCTTTTTCCCTAGCTGGCCTTCCCTGCTGCTCAAGAGGCCATTCGACTGGCCAGGGTCCAAGCTACACCCCAGCAAGCCATTCTCTGTTCTTTCTCTCATGCTCTGTAGTCTACAGTTTGCGCTCCTGGCTCGGTAGTCAGGACCCAGGCCAAATGCCACCTCATCTTCAAAGCCAGGCGTTCAGACTCTCTCTCCCTTTGTTCCTGGATCATTTCCTATGCATCTCTGATACAACCCTTATTGTACTGTGCTCTAATTGCATTTACATGTCAGTCTCTCCAGCTAATGTGAGGAATTCAAGGGCAGGGACCCGTAGCATGTTCATTTTGCCATCCTTGTCAGTTAGTGCCAAAGATGAAGTGTTGATGGAATGAGTGGCTTCCAGGGGGAAATGAACGCATTCTGGGCTCCCACTTGCTCTGGAGAGACAATGCCTGCTTTAGCTGGCAGGGCACTGCCGGGAATGAGCACCAGAATTCCTCATTTCCCAGTAGACAGCCTCCCCTTGCAGAAGGAGCTCAGAGGTAGAATTTCCAGGCCATGACCTGTTGCCTCCTCTGTTACCTCCACATTTTTATCAATATTTCAAGACTAAAAATGACAGTTGCCTCAGAGGTTTTATAGAACATATGTTTGTTTTTTGTTTTTTTTTGGTTTTTTTCTTTTCTCTCAGGGTTAAGCAACATCATCGGCATCATAGTTTATATATCAGCCAATGCTGGAGACCCCGGTCAGCGGGACTCTAAAAAAAGTTACTCCTATGGCTGGTCCTTTTATTTCGGAGCTTTCTCTTTCATCATCGCGGAAATCGTGGGAGTGGTCGCAGTGCACATCTATATTGAGAAACATCAGCAGTTACGTGCCAAATCCCACTCAGAGCTCCTCAAGAAATCTACGTTTGCCCGCCTGCCTCCCTACAGGTACAGATTCCGAAGACGGTCAAGTTCTCGCTCCACTGAGCCTAGGTCCCGAGACCTGTCCCCCATCAGCAAAGGCTTCCACACCATCCCATCCACTGATATCTCCATGTTCACCCTCTCCCGGGACCCCTCTAAGATCACCATGGGGACCCTCCTCAACTCTGATCGGGACCACGCTTTTCTACAGTTCCACAATTCCACGCCCAAAGAGTTCAAAGAGTCGCTACATAACAATCCGGCCAACAGACGTACCACGCCTGTCTGAGCTGACCTCTGACCTCTGTCCCACGCCCAGCACAGCCTTGGGGGAAGTGTACACAGATGTCTCTAAGGTTGCATGGCATGGTCCTCGTGATGGTATTACTTCTTACAAAGAATGAAACCAAATGGACTCAGCCCTCTCCCACACTGGTCCCTCATCCCCTACATCCTAACCCTTCCATTCTCCAACTTCATGCTAGTCCCTTAATGTCATTCCTCTCTGTGTATCTGTGCCAGATGTTTTCTTTTCCTTCCTACTTTGCTGGAAGGACCTCTACATTCTTCCCTCCTTGGAAGAGGACCTTACTGAAAGTCAAGGCTGGTAGCCATGGATGGCTGTTCTCATTGTCCACTCTCACAAACCCTCAGGAAGCCCACTGCCCAGGTGGTCCTGAGGAAGGCATTCACCTTTAAGTGTTAGAAAAACATGACCAGAAATCAAAGATGTCAGTGCCCTGAAGCAGCTAATGTAATAAGCACTTGTGTTATTAAAGGTTTCGCCTTGTCGTAACCAACAGAGCTGAGGGTGTTTTGTTTTGTTTTGTTTTGTTTTTCTGGGTGTTTCCTGCACAAATTCACATCCCTGCCACCAGACTGACCCTGCTCTCTCTTAGAAACATTTTGTTCTTCTAGCCACCAAGAATGACCTCCCTTTCTTTCTTGAGGCCAGTAAGATGCTCTTACAGATATCAGAGTTGGTTTGCCGTGATCCCTGTAGTATAAATGCTGGCCATTCAAGGTCTAACTCTGACATTGGTAGCTCTTGACCTTGGGCCACTCATCTGAGCTTCAAGCCTCAGTCTCCTCATCTGAAATAGAACATGGTAATAATTCTCTCCTCCTTGGCTTAAATAAAATTCATATATGTAATGTCTACCATTATATGTATGTGCATATATATGTATGTAAATATATATATTGTTTGTTTGTTTTTGAGACAGGGTCTCCCTGTAACCCCAGCTGACCTGGAACTCACCATGTAGACCAGGATGGCCTCAAATTCACAAAGATCCACCTGCCTCTGCCTCCCAAGTGTTGGGATTAAAGGCTTATACCACCACACCTGACTTGTATGCATGTATAATTTTGAGACAGAGTCTCATGTAGCCCACGCTGGCCTCAAACTTGTTATGTAGCTGAGAACAGCCTTGGACTTCCTGATCCTCTTGCCTCTACCTCCTACATCCTGGGATTACAGGTGTGTACTATCACATCTAATCTATGTATTGCTGTGGGCTTGGTTGTATGCTAAGCAAGCACTCTACCAAAATCCCCAGTCCAGGAATCAATACTTATATAAATGCATACATTGTCTCAGTTACGCTTTTCTGTTGCTGTGATAAAACCCTGTGACCAAGGGAACTTATAAAAGGAAGACTTTATTTAGCTTACAGCTCCAAAGGGGCAAGAGTCTATCATGGCAAGGAGTCATGGTGGCAGAGATTGCCAGAGTAGGAGCAGAAGCTAAGTGCTCACATCTTCAAGCACAGAAAGCAGAGAGTGACTGGAAATCCAGCACAGCTTAAGAACTCTCTAAGCCTACCCCTAGTGACATGCTTCCTCCAACATGGGCACACCTTCTAAGACCTCCCAAAACAGCACCACCAACTGGGGACAAAATGTCCAAATACTTGGAACCTGTCGGGGACATGCTCATTCAAACTACCACATAGATGGATTCTAGATAGGGTAAGAAATGTATTCATGGTCAGCTTACAATGCCATAAAATATATTAGACTAGGGGACTTAAACAGCAGGCATTTATTTCTCACAGCTCTAGAGGCTGGGAAGTCAGGGTCAAGATACCTGAAAATTTGGTTCCAGACAAGAACCCTCAACCTGACTTGAAGACTGCTAGCTTCCTGATATATCCTCTCATAGTGGAAAAGGATTTCCTCTCATAGTGGAAAAGTATTTCTCTTATTCTTACCAACTACTAATGTCATCGTGGAGGAATGGGGATCCTGATGACTTCAACTAACCCTAAAGACTTCCCAATGGCTCCACCCCCACGTTCCATCACACTTGGGTATGAGGCTTCAACATTTGAATTTGAAGTGGCCACCAAACAATTCAGTTGATACCAGGAATTACAAAAAGCCAGTGGAAGTTGTTCTCTATGAGGGGCAGGAAAAGCGTACTTTGTGGTGGCTCTGAGGGCTTTGAGAAGAGAGTAGAGGCACAGCTGAATAACTCGGATATTGGGTGTTAGAAATCATGAATGGGATGTCCCCTCCACCAGTGCCGAAGTCCTAGAGCATTTTTGGACATACATCCAGTGCGTCATTCTTCCACAGCGCTTACTCACTTACTAGGATTCAGCCCCAGTAAGAGGTGTGGCACTGACCTAAGAGCTCACACTTATCCAACATGGACATCTAGGGCTATACATATGTTAAATAATTTGATGCTCCAGTAGCCCCATGAAGATGATATTGCTAGTATCCTCATTGATCAATGGAGCAGCCAAAGCAAGAGAAGTTAAACAACTTGCCCACATTTGACCCCTATTGTGGGATGAACGTCCCAGAAACTCATTCAGTGAATTTTATTATAAACTACTACTGGGAGGCAGGGGTAAAATGGTTCAGTGGAGAACGGTACTTATCATCAAGCCCTAACGATCTGAGTTCCATCCCAGGAATCCACATTGTGAAAAAGAAAAAACTGCCACAAGTTGTCCTCTGACCTTCACATGCACATGCACACCTTCCCACACCCACAATAAATAAACGAATGTTCTTTAAAGTGCACACTAGGAACAATTCATTTTATTTAATGCTTAGCCATTGTTATAAGCAGCTGACACCCACCTCAAATTGTCTCATTAATTATCAAAATAGCCTCATGTCGTAGGAATTACTTTTCCACTTTGGCAGATGAAGAAATAGAGGTTCAGGGTGCATAAGTTATCTAAGGGACTAATAGGCAGAGCCACATTTATATCCAAGCCTCTGCTTCCTACATGAAGGGGCTTCCCCACTCCACCAGCATTTTCCAAACCTCAACAATTTGAGCACAATTTTTGTGGTTATTCACATCCCCATAACACATCGACCATTACATACCTAATTTCTCCTTTAAGTAGACTCACTTTTTCCTTCCATAAGCGTATTCTGAAAGGAGATTGTATAGTGTATCTACCATAAAGAGAAAAAGGGAGTTAATTGCCATACACAAAGGGTAACTGGGAAAATAAATACAATAATAATAGCAGTGCTGTATTCTAGCTGCGGCCCACCTGCTGCTGCCCTTTGTCAGAAGCATAACACCAAAGTGTTGGAAGTGTTAAAGAGAGTCTAGCACAGAAAAGAGGCTCTTCCCTTGGCTTAAGCAGCAGGAGCAAGAGAGGAAATGTGGTACGGTTCTCATTGTGTGATAAATGCTCTAGATGGAGAAACATCTCCTCCCACTCTTGGGAGAAAGTACTACAGCCATGGTTGGGGAAGAAGGATCTGGGAACTAGAGCAAGTAGTTGATATACACTGGGAGGAGAAAACAGCAGCTGCCACCCACCCTGAGAACCAGGAGCTTCTCAAGACAGGGGACTCTGAGCTGGATGCTGATCCAGGATTCCAAGCATAAAACCATTATGCAAAAGCCAGAGAGCTGGAGGAGAGATTATGGGCACCTGTCTCCCAGGAGGATCGTTTGCACCATCCAGGGCTGCTGGTACAAAGTTTCGGCACTGGGAGCAACATGGGAGACCTTGTACTGAAGTCTGATGATCTGGTTAGCATCAAATACATATTAATGATACCATTTCCAGGTTGTATTCAGGATTCTGGTCAATCCTCCTCATCAAAATCCCAGGAAAGGGGCTAGGGAGATAACTCAGTCAGTAAAATGCTTGCTATACAAGACAAGTACCTGAGTTCAATCCCCAGAGCCCATAGTTTAAAAAGCTAAGCACAGTGGTATTCACTTAATCCCAGATCTGGGGAAGCAAAGACAGAAGGATCCTAGACAGTCAGCCTAGATGAATTGGCAAGCGCTTCAGATCAGTGAGAGACACTGTCTCAAAAAGGCAAGATGGGTGGTTCCTGAGGAACAATACCCGAGGTTGTTCTCTGGCTTCCACATACATGCACACACATGTGTATGAGCACCCATACACACATGCACCCCCGCATATATGAAGATGTGCATGTACACCCATACATATTGTTAGATAGGTGTGTCCTCCAAATGACCAGCAACAGATGGATATCTTCTTCTCTAGCTTCTCCCCTCTCCTGCTTACTGAAAACTGATTGAACCCTAACCTAAGACCCTCCATAGGAAGGGAGGGGCAGAGGGAGACAGTCACCCTTCCCACCCAATCAATAACTGCATGAGCGGGCAGGACTAAGGGGACACACCTGGGAAGCAAGGGAGGAGGGAGGCATTTTCCCAACTTGGGCCAGCAGCCACAGATCTGGAAGACTCAGCTGATATGTAGGGAAAAAAGCCCAAGGGTGTCTATGCCTTTGTGAGTACCCCTCGTCATCGTCATCATATGCTCTGTTAGTAAGCCCAAATAAGTATCTTTATTCCCTAAACTGTAGTTGGGAGGAATACTGTGTCAGTTGGTCATAAGGACGGTGGAAGGAGAAAGCCACACGTGTGCCTCCCAGCTATAAATTTGACTTACACACATAAATTGCCCTATGTGTCAAATACTGTGTTACAAATATCACTTACTATGTCTTATTGAATCCCAACTATTCAGGTAGGTATTATTAAACCCAAGTGGAAACTTGCAAGTAGACAGCGGAGCAGACACATAGTCCATGCCTACCCAACCCCAGAGCCTATACGACAACCACCCACAAAGATTTCCAGTTCATTTCTCTCACTCCATCTCCTTCTCCACCAAGCCCAGATTTCATTCCCAACTTACCTTTTCCAGACCAGCAGCATCCTTCGTCTAACTTCAAATCCAGAATCTCCGGGTTTCTCTTTGATGGTTTCCTGATGCGCAGCCTCCCCACCCACCTTGGGAACAGGTCTTTTCCCCAGGTCATACCTCTGCCTTTCTAGAGGAGAGACCTTGTGTGTCCTGGTATTCAAGCACCAGCCCTGCAGTTGTTTCCACCCATGTTTGAGCCCACAAAGTCCTGGGCACAATCCCCATCACTGCAATCAATCAACCAACCAATCAATAAAATAAAAATAGCCCTCAATAGGTTTGTTGGAAGGCTTGAGTTACTCATGAAGCATTTGGGAAAAAACTGGAAATGTAGCACAAACTACATAAATGTAACCTTTCATCCCAGGTGTGGTGGCATACACCTGCAATCTCAGCACTTGGGAGGTGGAGGCAAGAGGACTGTGAACTTGAGGAGCTATGTAGCAAAACCCCGTTTCAAAACAACAACAAAAAAGTAAGCTATCTCTCCATAAATTTCTCAGGTTTACATGTTTTCCTCCATGGGTCCTTCCCACCAGACCAACCTCCTCTCCATGTCCTGTCTGTCGGTGCTCAGCTCAGTCTAGTTAGGCCACTGCACTGTCTAATGTACCCTGGC